TCGTAAAGGAAAGAAAAAGTTAATCGATAAAGAAATTGTTACAGATATAAATAATCGATTAGTAAAATCGAAAAATATATAAAATCACCAGAGTATCAACTGGTATCTCCCAATTATTAACCTGTTTCTCCATCTATTCAGTCTTTTTGACTAATCAGATTTTTTTAGCGTAAAAAAAAATAAATCTTTTCAATGAACAACAATTATATAATTTATATCTTCAATTTTTACAAAATGTTAAAAGAAAAAATCAAATATTTGATTTTGAAAGTATATCTAGATATTTTGATAAAAATCTCCAAATAAACAAATATAATTTTTTTATGAGCGCAAATGATCTCAAAACTGTCAATACAAAACATCAATATATTAGAGGATTAAATCGAAGAAGATGTTGGAATTTTCAAGAAACTTTTACTTACAAATGTTGTGTAGCCTGTAAAAAAATCGATTGTGATTGTGTATTTATTTGTGGATATACGTATCCAACACAAAAAAACAAATACGGTAAATATATACAGTTTGCAAAATATAAATATTTCACTAATAATCAGAACAAAATAGTTCACGATTGTAAGGGAAAGATTCGTGAAGATAAAAATATTTTTTTGTATATAGATAAACAACAAACACGACCATTTAATTATAATTTTAATAATCGATATTATTATTAAATGTAATAATTAATAAATTATAACTTAACCAGTTTTGTACCGGTTAAGAATTTATTTGTGTAAAAAAAATGTGGTATTATTGTATAGATTTTTTCCAGTTACAGAATGATTTTTTTTATTCTGATAAACTTGATTTTGTTAAAGCACAAAAATTTAAGAAAAAATATCATGATGCGTTATCTTTAATAACAGAATATAATTATCTTGGATTAAAAATAATTAATACTGAAAAAAAATATCAAGAATTAATATCTATTGCAGCTTTTTTAAAAATAACACTTCATCCAACAAAGAGTAATTTACCATTTATTATGGAGGAAATTGAGGAGTAATTTTATTATTAATAAAGTCTAATCAGTTAATAACCGATTAGAATTTTAAGTATGTAATTATGGAAAAGATCAATATAGCGATTTTTGGTCAATATGCATTAGGAAAATCAAGTGTTGGTTATGTTTTAGCAACAAAATTAAATTATCATTTATCGAAACCGATTTATTTTATCAATATTTAGCGTCAAAAACATCAAGTTTTGATGAAGAAGAATTGATAAATATTTTAAATAACGAAGAACCCAAACATTTATTTCAGGTTGACAACACAACACTTTATGAGAGAGATAATGATGATGAGATAAATAAACGAGCATTTGAGATATCAAAAAAAGATAATATTCATAAAAAGATTAACGAAATTATTCAAAAAATACAAAACAGAAAGGTTTTGTGGTGGTAGGTTGTGATTCAACAATCGATATTCTTCCTGATGCTAAAATTAAACTTTATTTAACTGCTAATTTTAAAACACATGTTGATCGTTAACAAAAACAATTTAATTCAGAAGATTTGAACGTGTGGTTAGATATAATAACACGTGATTCTTTTTCTTTGATTAAAAAAGCGCAAAAAATATCTGATACGATGAAGCAGACCGCACTTGGGTACCTTTAGGGGCAGCTGAGTGATGTTGGATCTTCAACTTAAATAGCTTAAATATACCTTGTGCATGCTTTGATTTAATAAAAAATACCGGCGAGGCTGCCGATATATGAAAAAAAAATATATATATATCTATAAAAAAAAGCAAATCTTAATATAAACTAGAAAATTTATAATTAATCTATAAATCTCTTGTTTATCTGATATATAATAATTTGTATAATTTTTGTTTTAATACTTTTGTTTTTTTGATTATTCTTTTGGTATTTTTGTCTTGTTGTTGCTTTGTTATTTTTAGATACTTTGCTTATTTGATACTTTGTTATTTTAGTATTTCATTATTTTTGATATTTTGTTGTTTTAGTATTTTATCTTTTTGGTATTTTGTTTTTTTAGTATTTTATTTCTTTAGTATTTCATTTTTTTAATACTTTATTCTTTTATGTTTTGTCTCTTTAGTATTTTGTCATTTTTGTATATTTTGTTATTTAAATATTTTGTCAATTTGGTGCTTTGTTTTTTTGGTACTTTATTATTTTGATATTTTATTGTTTTAGTACTTTATTCTTTTGATGTTTTATCTTTTTGGTGCTTTATTTTATTGATATTTTGTTGATTTTAGTTACTTTTGTTTCTTTGATATTTTATTGCTTTTGTATTTTGTTATTTTTGATATTTCTTTTTTTTTTAATATTTGTCTTTTAGAAGTTCTATTATTTGGTATTTTGTTATTTTGGTTTTTTGTTTTTTTGATATTTATTGTTTTGGTAATTTTTTTGTAGTTTTAGTAATTTTAATAGCAGGTTGTTTATAATTTTGTGAATTTTTTATATTTTAATAGTTTTTTTTTTGTATTAAGATGAGGTTTTGTTTCATATTTTTATTAAATATTTTTAAATAATTACTTTATTTTTATTTTTTTTTTAGTATTAAAGTAACTCCTTTGGTCAGTACTTTTGTTTATATTTAACAGATTACTTTTACAACTAGATGATCTACATTTGTCGTATGGTGCATGTAGTCTAAAACCAACATCATGTGACCTTTTATAACTATATAAACTAAAAAAAGTTATAACTAATAATATTAATATTATAATAAAATTTTTTTCTCTGTAAAT